TTTTTTTTTTTTTTTTTTTTTTCTAAAAAGAAATCATCCCCGTTTCGGTGTAGAATAGCTCCCCGTTCGAATAGATGGCGTATCTTTGCCTCGACAACGAGATTATGTCACCTCGTCTCCAATTTTAATGAGGATATCGTCCAATCTCTGACGCTTTTCGATATGCTTGTTACACCGATATGAATTGTTTTGTCACTGACAGGAGATATCTTTCAAAGTGATTAAAGTATTTCTAGTATATCTAGTTCGTTACTTAGAATCAAGGAGCATTTTATAAATAAAATTAGGAAAGTACCCCAAGTATAGCCAGTTGTGATCCTCTTTTCCTTTTTGCAAAATTCTCGAAAAAGTACTTGGAATTCTCGTCTGATGTTTTAGAAATTGCCTTCTCAGGTACCATGAAATTCATCATGCCTAAAAAAAAAAATAGAAAGTGATGTCTGTAATATTCTCGAGAGAGACACTATAGGCAAGAAAATTTAATAGATAATAAAAATTATTTCTAACGTTATAGCGAAATTAATTAATTAATTAATTGAACATTGATAGTTTAAAAGACTGCGATAAAAATTTATACGACTTCTACGAATTTTTATTATTAATAAAATTATTAAAGTACAATGTATTTGTCTTTCACTGCTATAGATAGTACTTACATATTATACGATGAGACGGGATAATCAAATGACTACTATACTTTGTGAATGTGACTTGAATGATCCCCATGATCATGACCTCCATGATCTTTGTAATCCATATCGTACGACGCAAAGAATATTACAGCCCAAATAAGAAAGAGAAGTATGAAAAGAAATAGCATTACACTGTTAAATTTGTCCCATCCAAACATTATTTCGTTCAGCGTCTTGAAATCTTTTTTGAACGTAACTTTTGAGTCTATGCCGCAGTATCGTCCACCATCGCCGGAAGCTCTCATTTTCCAACCTTACTGTCGCTATCCTTTCTCCTTCTTTTTTAATTTCTTCTTGTATATTGAAAGATACTTTACATTGAATATTTTACTTTTGTAATAATTCTTCCACACCGACGATACACTGAATGCTCGAGATACCGTTTATGCTGTACAATATTAAGGGAACTTTCGATTAGATAACGATTGTGTCCAATCGATTATGGGATTGTGTTCCTTGCATCAATGCCAATCATGTTACATGACCACAGCTGTACGTAAATTCAGTAATTTATTCGTTTGTTTTTTCAATTATGCATTATCTTTAATTATTGCTAAAAGTTATCATCATACGTCAGAAAGTTACATTCGCGTTAAAAAAAAAAGTATCATAGCTATATTAAAGTTGTATTAATTATGCATTATTTTTAATTACTGCTGAAAGTTATATACGTCGGAAAGTTACATTCGCGTTAAAAAAAAAAAAGTATCATAGTTATATTAAAGTTGTATTAATTATGCATTATCTTTAATTATTGCTGAAAGTTATATACGTCGGAAAGTTAAAAAAAAGAAAAGTATCTTTCGTCGAAATACTTTGTCTTTGACATTGATATTTGATTTCGACAGCGAATATGGAAATTAAGAATTTGAGAGAATCTACAAGCAGCAATCAATGTTATTCCCGCTGGACTTTTCCCAGCTGAACATCCAATAGCCAAGAGCTGCGCCTAATGCTACAGCGATGCAAAGCCAAACGTTGTACGTCATGAAAATTAGCATAAGGAAATACCCTATGACTAGCTGAATAACGTGAACAACCGTTTGGAGGACGTGCATTGTCGAAAAGAGCAATTCACTGGAACAAAACACGTCCATTAAACAACGAAGGAAACACGTCCATCAGTTTTTTTAATAGCAACATAAAACTGTAATATTAGGTTAAAACTAGGTTACTAGTAATAGGTTAAGTAGGTTAAACTAGACTGATGGTAGTATAAGTTAATTAAAGTAACATAAAATAATATAATAATATAAAATAAAATAAATAAAAAAAAATAATATAAAATAAAATAAAAATAAAATAATAAAAAGGGGGGAGGGGATTTACAATTATGATAAATACGAATACGAAAGATGTATCTGACAGAAAAAAAAAAAGAATACACACCTCCTACGTGTTTCTGTTCTATGTTTCCATAAGCGTGCTGTATTGATATACAAATGATCCCTAAATACACAGACACACACATACACACGCATATATAAAGAGAAAAGTATAAATTAATATATTATCCGAAAATTTCATGTACAACTTAGGTTATGATTCGCTTTCGAAAAGGTGAGCGAGCAAAAGTTACTCACCGATAGCTTTTTATCCCTTCGTATATAGTCGTCAAGAGAATGATGCCAATCATCGACGCCACGATACCTGCAGAATCCTTTGAATACCATTGACGGAACAAAATCACTTCGGTATCACCGACGTGAAATGACATCTAGCGTCAATTAACACGGGGGTTAGTGGTCAAAACGAAAACAAGTGTCAAAATTAAAAGATTTTTTTTTAGGTTAGGTTCAAAATTAAAGAGATTAAACCGCCATGTTTTGTTTCACTCACTTCCATTTTGTAAAAGTCGAGGTAGAAAAATTGTACAAACTGTGGGAAAGATTAAAGTATACACCGTGTCGAGTATCTTCGCAAAAGGCTTCGTACGGTCTTGCGAGAGCATCGTTAAGCATCAAATATCCGTACGACTTCTTTTATCGAAATTACAGATAACTTATCGACGAATCTCGCGCTTGTATCAACAATTTCCAGGCTGTTTTCACTCCTTCTTTATAAATTGACACGATCGTCTAATTCGAAATTTTTCACTCCACGTCATTTCAATTACACGTCGTAGTATCAAATTGTCGATAAAATACGGATAGCGAGTGATGAATCATTCCTCCCGCTTGCTCAATTAATTAACACATGTAACCATTTTCATACTTCGA